GGGACTTTGAGAACTTAACTGCTTTCACTGCTACTGACCTGCTTGTGACCAGCTCTTAAGCCTTACACAGCAGGCCAGGGTTATTTATATATAGAAAAACCTCTAAACTTTACAAGCATTGGCCTTGGAGCACTGACAGCGGGCACAGTCATTTTGCTTCTAACTAACCTCATATTCCCAAAGCCCTTGCAGTCAGTGAGAGCCAGCCATCAATGCAGCAATCATAGTGAAGACAGGCAAGGCTGATAGAAGCAAGATTACATTGGTGCCAAGTGTCAGGCCTACTCATGCAAAGATGGAAGTGCAAGGTAGATGTACCTAGCCAGGGCAGCACAGATTAGAGCACAAGAGATTACCTTGCTACATCTTGCATAGAAGCCTGATAATTTAGTATAATGTGAACAAGATATCAGCTTCCTGTCTGCCTGCCTGCACTAGGGGAATGCAACAGTAGCAACCCATCAGTACCCATTAGATCAAATCCTTGCTGTATGCAGACAACTAGCCTTGGTCTCCAGTAGGGGCTGAAATCAGGGCTAACTGAAACATAGGCAAGGCACAAGTGTAATTGTCTAGTCATCTTAACAGTATTAAACATATCCCAGCACCAAACCTACTACCAGCCTTCTGCCCTCTGTCAAAATCCAGGAACACACCAACTAAAACCAATGTTGTCCACACAGCCCAAGCCCCAGCCCCAGCCCAGAGCCAAATGCAAGCTAAATGCTGTATAAGAGCATTGCAGACAGTGAGACAGATTCCAAGTTAAGAAGAAATTTCCAATCATACCAATATGACCAGGTGTCCTGAACAAGAGCAACAATTGTCTGTGATACCATGTGGAATCAGTCCTTAGCTATGAAATTAGCCTTGTTGACGTGTGTGTGTGTGTGTGTGTGTGTGTGTGTGTTTAAGCAAATCAAGGCATGTGGTTCAATGGGAAGGAGAACATCTTAACTGATCTCTCATACTTGGCTGGGTGTGGGTGGAGGGTGGGGCAGAGACAGTAGATCTGAGAAGTGGGGAACTGCTGATTTCATTAAAGGGAAATGCTTATGAAACGCTCACATGCCCCCTTAACCATCCCAAGAGTTCAAACTAAGAACTCCAAAGGACTAACGATTTCTGGGTGCCCAATGGGGGTCTAAGTAGAGGGGTCTGAATTTCAGAGGGTGCCTGGTGCCTTCTGTGGACAGGCCCCTTGTACATCTGGGCCCCTAAAAATCACTAGGCACTTCAGAAAGTTGTGGCCTAGGCAGGGGGATGTCAAACCCTGTGGGAGTGGCATTAAATGGACGTGTGTAGATGAATCAGGGGTTTAATTCACCGTAAATTGAAGTGGTGGGTTTTTAAAAACACAGCTTCAATTTAGGGTGAAGTAAACCCCTGTGTTGTGCATACCAGTGTCTTACCTGCCTCCAGCGGTGCGGAGGAGATGGTTAGCTGCTGGTGGCAGAGCGGTCCTTGGTGCTTCCCTCCGTGGCAGCAGTGCCCCCTTCCAGGTGGCACCCGCCCGCAGGCACCTGGCTCAGGCTGTCCTGGGGGGCACTGCAGCCATAGTTCCTCGCATAGCTCATGCAGGCAGGCAGGCTCCAGGGAAAGAAAAAGAAAAGATGAGGCTCGCCGCTTCTGTTTTTCTTCGGTGTAGCCTACTTTCCTGGGCTGCTGCCGAGCTGCCTGCACAGCCCCTGAGCCACATGGAGCCCAGTGCTTCGCTCCACGGCTGTAGGGCAGCAAACTAAAACTCTTTGAGGGCGTTTGAGTTTGCTGCGCCACAAAGCCATTTAAGGCGCATTATACCACCAAATATGCTACAGCAGTTGGAATTAATGTGCAATACGCCACCAACATGTGCAATTTAAACCAATGCCATTAAAGTGGTGCAAAAGCATTTAACCCGCTTTAAAATGTCATGCACACATGCCCCTCGTTTAGTCTACACACACCCAAAAGCATGAAGCTGAAAAAGCCAGTGAATTGTACCTGATCGTAGTGTGATCTTTGAGCCTTTGGGGGAGCCATTTTCCCCTCTTTGCCTGACTTCTGTGACTCTATTCAGATTAAAAATTCTAATTTAAATGGGCTGGGGCCCCAGAGCAGTTTAGCTAACCCTGAGGAATCAGTGATCTTCCATGAACTGCTCCTCCAGTCCCACTATTCCCCAGCTCTCTATATGATCTGCCTCTCTGCTCCCTATCCCCTGTGTTATTCTGAATGCAGTCTGTTTCCTCAGTCTTTCTTGCTGGCTCCATATTCTTCTGCTCTCACTCTTTTCCCTCCTGGCCCTCTGTTCTTTGGCAAGCCCCTGCTCTGGTCAGCATCTCTTGCTGGAAAGGACATGGGATTCAAATACGTGATTTGCTTGTTTCTATCATTAGCACCATCTCAGTCTGTGTTCTTGGAGAAGACTTACTCTAAGGCTCCTTGCTACAGACTTACCATCTTGTGTGATTGCAAATAAAACGTGTGCACTATGGCCACAGCTGGAGGAGCCATTTTGAAAACCCAGTCTTTAATGCTGCTTAGGGAGGATTGATTCTTTTATATGTAACATGCTCTGAAAACCTTGTGCATGCACAGCCGGCGAATCAGAACTAACATTTCTCTTAGCCAGTCTCCTTTAATTTACAAGCTGAGATGCACAGGCACCCTTTCTCTTGTTCTACTATGTTTGTTTAAACCAGCTCTGAGCTTTCTGTGTTCTTTGTGGGCAGCCTTAGTCAGCAATTCCTTATAACTTTTTAATACAGCTTGCTTTAATATATAACCTAGCAGTCTGCATGGTCTGGTTATACCTCGATCCTTTTCAGCTTCTGGCATTTTCCCCTCCACCATACTGTTAAACCAATCAGTTTTGCTTGTCCAGATTTGAAATGAATAGAATAGTGAGCTAATGTCATGAATATAATTATGCAAAAAAGCAGAGATCTCCAGCCTCTGTTGTTATCTGATAAACAGGGCCATTGGTGGAATTTCCATCCCTCCTCAGGGCTTTATCATCTCCCATGGGCTTTTATCCTGGCCTACATTTAAAAGCAACATTACATTTCCAGTTTTCCTCCTAGCAAATGCAAAGTTGGGTGAGCTGAGGCTTCCCACAGACAATAGATCTGGAAGGCGCTAACCAGTCCATTCAGTTCCAGAACTCAGGATGAGCTGTTAAAAGTGCAGGCACTGGGATTTGTTACTCTTCCACTGATGTTTTGAGCAGAGACACTATCGAAAGGCAAACGTTTCTGTGGTTCAGTAACCTGCCCTTCCCTCCCTCTTCCCCCCGCCCACCTCTTCACCTTAAAAACCAAGCTGAAAATTTTCAGCTACAAAGCCAATATGGCCAATTGCAAATGTTTAAAAATCAAGACGGTTTTAAAGGTTAATTAGAGTAATAAAATAAAGAAGGTGGCTGTTTGTGCCTTTAGGGTGCATTTGGGACACATTTCACAAGCTTTTGTTCAGAACTGTGAGGGCTAGAAACCTTTTTGCTTTTTGAAGTGGGTTGAGATTCTCCCACAACTACTTGATGAAGAATTTTGTTTTTAATGTAGTGTTTATTAACCCAAAAGTGTGTGTGTGTGTGTGTGTGAGCGCATGCGCATACACGGGACCTAATGTGAAGGGTAAAGAACAGTCCTTTTGACCCTTTCCACCCCAACAAAGAAATATTCTGCTGTGATTTTCTTTAAAGCCATTACCTTTCAGTATTTGTAACCAGGAGATGTACAGAAATGAAACAGGAGAAACAGTTAAAAGGAATTTAGTTTTTAAGTTCTCTATTTAAACACTGTTATCAACAGAAGTAAAGAGTAAATTACTGGGCAATTTTTATCTCAATGTCATGCATTTCAAAGAAAAATATGTTAAGAAAAATATTTCCTATAGTACACTAATCACTACAACTGATTATGGATTGGGCCTAGTCCCTGAGAGAGCCTGCTATATGAAAGGGGAAGATACCAGTCTGATAATGATAAAGTACGACTCGGGGAATGTAGCTTCTATTTGAATGCCCTGGAAAGCAGGATTACCAGACGATAAAGCCTTGAAAAAAAACTACTTTGATTAATTCTACTAATTTCTTTACAGGAGGCTTTATCTTGCAACACCTTTGCAAGTCCTGTTTCCTAACCATACAATAGCCAAAGATCTCCTCTATGCCTATGCATTCCAATAGGCAGAGCAATTTCTGATCTCTTGCTCTATGTTATCAGGCAGAAGCTCTTGTTGGGGAGGGATCAATAAGCTGATTGTTTCTGAGAGGCTGTTCTGTTATGGAGAAAGTTGAGCAGTAAATTGTTTTGGAAAGGAGCATGCAGTAGAGTGTGCCAACAACTCATTTATACTGCAGCAGCAGCTGAGGCCTCTCCCCAGCTTGGGCAGTGTTTGTACTAAGGGCTGTGCTAGAGGCTGTACAAACCCATAAGAAATGGCTGTCCCAAAGGTATTTAAAGCAGCTCATTTATTTTTCAGTCCTGCTAGTGCTCGTCTAAATTACTTGCATTTTCATTCAGGATTTATCTCCAATTTTCTTTGCAAAGGACATGGGATATTTATCCTGTTTGGAGTATTCAAGGTTTCAAGCCAGTTGTTTGGGGAAGATAATTCCGTCCAGTTTTCCCTTAGAGCTAAAACCTAGCATAGGAAAATACAATCTATAGTTATGAATAAATGGTTATAAGTAGAACTATTTGCATGGGGCTGGGTACCATTTGATTTCTGCAAAAGAAACACCTCTCCGGATTCTACCCCATCTCCAGGCACGTATTTAATATTTAGCTAAATTTAAATGCCAATAAAATTATTTCCAAAGAACACTGTCACATTAAAAGACTGCAGGCAAATCTATAAGAAAATAAGTTCCTAGAGCTTTTCAAATGCTTTTCCTAGAGCTTTTCACCTGTTGCAGCACAGTGGGTTCCTATACACATGTGCAGAGACTGCTCCAATGTTCTGGAAATCCAGTGCATTGGAGCAGACTCGATTGAGTCTGCTGGAGCACAGAAATTGATGTGCTCCGGCAGCCTTCAGCATCATGTGCATCAGCACTGCTGTCTCTCTCTGCACTGAAAAAATGGTGGCGGGGCATTTTGAAATAAAACACGTTCAATGACCCCATCACCATTTTTTCAGTATGAGGACATGAAGTGATGCTGATACATGTGACGCTTGCTAGTTAAAGTGCTCAGTGATGCATCCCACAGCGTGTGTAAAAATGCCCAGTGTTTAAAACACTTGAGGCAAAACTTGAGGCCCACTATTAAAACATTTGAGACAAAACTGCTAAACAAATGGGTGTGTCCAGACAACCACGGACATTTGTTTCCCTGGGGACAAGCAGCATTTGTTTCCCATGGTTAGGAAACAGGCACACCTTGTGCTGCTGCTATTCGTCCCTGGGGAATGCCTGTGCCATGAGTGCTCTGCAGATTATCCCAGGTGGGGTAGGGGAGGCTGGGGTCAGCAAATGTGCTGGCCCCATCAGCCTTACCTGGGGTCCTGGGGCCTCCTGGGGCTGCAGCCATGGAAGGAAGCCTGGCTGGCACCTGGAGCATGGCTCCGGCTAGCTAGGCTCTGGTTTTGGGCAGCACATGCTGTTGCCATGTGTGCCGCCCCACTTTTTTTTTGGCCTGGGTTTTTTGACCCTGGGATCTCCTGGGGTCAAGAAACCCCCCCTGCACTACTAAGTAGCAGTGTGGGAAGTGCCTGCATATGCGGTGTATGGCACCACAGATGGGTCTGTGGCATCACACACTGCATGCCTGCACTTGTCTGGACACAGGCATGTGAAGTATCTTGGACCTTCGCCTTTGATACCCTTGTCCTGACAAAAGCCTTTTTCCCCCTCCAAACCAAACTCACTCTGGGGTGAGCAGTCCTGTAGACACACAGTTACAGCATAAGCATATATTATATATACAAAGAAATAGCTTGTGCCAGTGAGGTATCCTCAGCTAGAGCAAGAACAGCAGCAGCATGTAGTCTTCTGAGGAACTGACCAAGGTAGCTTATTTGTATACATGCCTAGGTCCAGCTCCCAGCCCCCTCACATTTTATCAAGTTCACTGGCATGGCCACTGTCAGAAGTGAAATATCTTCCTAATACTTTGATCTCCTTTCTGGGGTTTTTACCCAAACAACCATTCGAGCCAATAAGAGTAGTTTTGGGTGCAGTACTGAGCATCTATGAAAAACCAATACTTAATGTAAGGGATCAAGATTGGGCAATTTTGCCTAAGGGTCTGTGGGATTCCTTGATAAATAATGGTCAGTACAACACTATATTTAAAAGTCTACAACAAGGCCTGGTGTTCTGCAATCTTGGCACCAAATGCCATCTTAAACTCAGGGCTTGTGTTTTGAACATTGCTAACGTACACACGCACTGGACAAATCCCCACAACTGAATTTTTTGTCTGCACGTTCATAAATCCTTAGATCAAAATGGCAGGCATGATGAGTGCAGGTAAGAGCTACATCTCCTGTGTATGCACTTCCTCTCATCAATAAACTTGGCCATTCCCACTTTCAGATAGCTTCCCAAGGGAAGTTCTCCTTTCTCTCCCCAGTTTGCTTCCTCTGTTCATTAAATAACATTTTGCTTATAATCAGTTTCAGAATTTCCCTTCTACCATCAGTTAGTACTTTATTGGAAAGGGTACTGTAGTCTGTTTTCCTGCTGTTTATGTGGGTGTGTACGTAATGTGTGCAAGGGCAGGTGGAACCAGGGCGCAGTCTGCAGAGAGATGCTGACTGTTAATTTGGACTGCAACTCCCAGAAACCCCCAGAGGCTGAGGTGGGGAACAAGGAAGAGGAAGCTTGAGGCTGGAGTAAGGGGTTGAGAGAGCAGCGTGCATTGGAACCTGGTTTATTCTCACTGGAGATCTCACTGGCTTGGTCAGCCAGGACTGCGGACTGAAGGACCTGGACTCAAACTTGGGAACAACTGCAGGCAGCTGTTTGAACGCTCTAGGGACTAAAACAGGGGTGGGCAAAATAATGCCCGCCAGCTGGATGTGACCCACCAGGCCATTCTATCTGGCCCACGGGGCCCCTCAACATTTAGAAAATTAATATTTATGTGCCCCTGGCTGCCTGTCAAAGCTGACAGGAGTCAGGGGCAATAGAACCCAAGGGAAGCCAGTGGCAGGACTAAGCAACAAGGCCTGCCTGGCCCTGCCCCGCCAGCTCCCTCCTACCACCCTCCACAACCGGAAGCCCCTGTCTAACACAGCTTCTGGTTGGGACCATGGGGCTGTTCCTGCTTCCCTGTGCTGGAAAGGGAAAATCAGATAATGTGGGGGGAGGAGGGAGGCAAGGAGGACCGTGGGTGATGGCCCCAGTCCTCAGGACTGGGCTGGTTCCTACTGAGTCCCGTGGTTGCAGCCATGCAGCAGCCAGGAGACATGGTGCCGGAGTAGCCAGCAGGGGGCAGGGAAGCAATGAAAATGGTGGTGGCAGGAGTGGGGA